AGCTGTCAGTTCTACCTGCTAAACACCCAGTTTACACTCTCACCATAAATACCACAGAATTGTCACTCTAGAGCCTCTAAGCTTGATAAATTAGATGATTGGCCCTGAGTAGAAGTGGCAGGTGATATAAGGAAGGGACACCCATGGTGGGCAGGCATACTCAGAATGGCCAGTATTACCTGCAGACCTTGCAGCATGGTCCAAGCCACTATGGCTGCCATGGCTGACCAGGAGCCTCTGCCTGGAGTATCTGGTCTTCTCAGTCATCACTGCCCGCCCCCCCAGTCAGATTTCTATGTTCCCTGAGGGACTTTCCTAGTCCTCTTCTCTCTCTCTAGAACCTTCCCTTTCCCCTCTGAGAACCTTCCTTTTCACAATTACACCATGGATTACCCAGTCACTCCTTCTGGAGCCTGCTTGGAAATTAGCTTCACAACACTCTGGAGGTTTCTCCCTCTCAACCCTGTCTTCACAAGCCACTCTCTGTAAGCCCACATTTTTCCCATTGCTCTTTATCCCTCCTGACCTACCCTATATTTACTTTTGTCTATCTCCCCCTTCAAAATTATAAGCTCCATTTACATTCTATCCCCAATGCCTAGAACAGAGATATTCAATAAATGTTTGTTCAGACAAATCCTGAATCATCATCTACCACAGGAACTCAGCACACACCATCAAATGAAACAGACCCTTCCTCCACACAAACCTGTTTATGGAGAGCTGGGATGTGAGGCCATGTTTCCAACAGAATCCATGGTGCTTAAGTGTAAATCCAATCATGCCTCCCAAAGAATCCTTTGTCCACTCTTCTCCCACTGGTGAAACAGGTCACATGACCAAGTCTGAGGGCAACAGAATCAAGGCTGGGATTTGAGCAAGTAATCTAATCCATCTGAGCTGCTGACATCATCATCATCACATGGTAATCATCATCATCATCATGCCATCCTCCCCGACAGCATTATGTCACTACTATTGTTGTCATCAGCATCATGGTCACTGTCATCATTATTATCACCATCACTGTCATCATCATTGCCACTGCCATCATTATCATCACTATCACCACCACAATCACCACCACCATCACCACCATCATTACCATTGGCCTCACTGGCATCACCACCACCACCATCATTGTCATCACCATCATTGCCATCATCACCATTGCCATCATTGGCATCACCAGAACCTCTGAGGAAAGACAACAATACATAGGGTCAGCCCCTTCCATCAAGCTCATAAGCAAAGTTGGCACAAGAAATTCTCATGGCTATGAATCTAGTGATGATGTGGTTTGTACATTCAGGAAAGATGGGTGTGAGGGTCGTTTGAGAGCACATGAGGGCCTGGTGAGCACACCATGATAAAACCTGAGAGTGACCTGCTGTGCCCACTGAGGCAAGTATCTTTCTCACACAGAAACCAATCAGCTTGAGGCAGATAAATGCACATTATAGGTAAAATATAAATGTGAGATTGTGAAGAGCAGAGCAGTTAAAAATTTAGTATCAGGCAGTAAACTTCACTCTGTTATTCACTCCAATTTGAAGAAAAACATAACATAATTTACAAGATTGCATATTTCCTAAGAATGTTTTTAACTTGATATTTTGAAATAATGACTATTGTCTCTATTTCAAAACTTGCTGAGTAATCCATCTGGACTTTCATTATTTTATGGTGAATGAAATCCATCAGTTTGTTGAAGTGAACAAGGGCCATCTATTTTACTTATTATTTATAGTTTTTTTAACTAGTTTATTGCTCTGGTGTTTTTGGTGTCTCACATTTTCTTATGGGGATGAATTATTGCCCACAGGTAGCTGGCTTGGAGGAGATGCCCAGTAGTGAATCAAGGGGGCAGGTGGTCAGGAGAAGGAATAATGGGACATCAGATGTCTATGGATTAACAAACATACAATTAGACTCACTGTACAAAATGAAGGTGCTCCTCAAAGATGCTGCCTAGATCCTCTGAATGTGTCACGGTTTGGGGAGAGATCACTTTGACTTTCAAGTTGTTGTCCTCATTTCTCATTGGCCTCTGGAGGGCAGAGGCTCCTGCCAAATTAGCATGATGTGCATCCTTTCCCTGGCCATAAGGAAGTTGACTTTGGCCCCAAAATCTGCAGAAAGAGACATCATGTGAAATGCTTTGTGAGACTGCCATAAGTCAATGAAAATTAAAGACAATAAAAAGAACTCTTTATCACCAGACACTCACTAGCTTTGGTTTCTTGAAGCTCCAAACCCAGACACTAAGCAACCATCAGGAAGTATTAATCCTATGCTCCCGAGAATCTGGACATGATCTGAACTCTTTGGACAGTAGCCATGTCCACACTCTGCAAGTTTCTGGAAACCTGGTTTATAGAGGACTGAAGTATTCTTCAATACAGATGAATGCTATGTTCTTAAAGTATTAGTTTTCCCTACTGCCAACCCAAACCTTGAAGTTTTACAAAAGAAAGAAAATGATATGTCTACAAATTATTTTCATAAAACATGACATTGTTCTACTGATTTGGGGCAGTGGAGGAAGAAAACAAACCCAGCAGTCCCAATGCTGAGTGGTTCTCATTGTCTGTCCCTCCTCCTTCTTTGTGTGAATCCAAGTGATGCCCTGGTCCCTTGCTTTGTGTCTGCTGAGCCCTGCAAAGGGAACTGCAGGGGTATAAGTAGCTTTGATGAAAGCTCAGGTTTAAGTCACTCACTCAACTCCAATGTGTTAGTTTGCTCACCCATGTCATGCAGCTCCTGACAGGACATGGAGCCACTGGCCTACCCTCAGCCACCTCTTTCCTCTTACAGAATCTGGCTTTTGGAAAAAAGGCTGCTCTCTTTCTATGGCCTCTGCGCCTGCTGGAGGTGGATATTAATGTTTGCATGCACTTGCAAAGTTTGTCTCTATTCCCAAGTGGTGAACCTGCCCATGTATTCCCTTGAGGAGCTCCACAAGATTCTGTCTCTGAACATCCTGCTCATTTTTCACAGCTGGTTTAAATTTTCATCTTTCCCCTGAATTTTATGACTACAGAGAGGCAAGCCCAGCTAGGACAGTTTGGAACACTCAGTGCTTTCTTCATCTGATTTTCTACAGCTAACTCTTTTATTTCTTAATGCTCTGTTTACATTTAGCCTGGCTGTAAATTTCCCTCCTACAAAGGAAGATTTTCCATGTGGTTCAGGTGGTCTCCATTTCTGAAATCACATTCTGTGTCCAATTCCCTGTCACTACTCTCTGGGTACCTTCCCCAAGTAGGAAAGGCAAGTGTTGTCCTCACCTGGGTCCCTAGCACAGGCTGTGTCTAGCACAGCATGATGTGCATCCTTTCCCTGGCCATAAGGAAGTTGACTTTGGCCCCAAAATCTGCAGAAAGAGACATCATGTGAAATGCTTTGTGAGACTGCCATAAGTCAATGAAAATTAAAGACAATAAAAAGAACTCTTTATCACCAGACACTCACTAGCTTTGGTTTCTTGAAGCTCCAAACCCAGACACTAAGCAACCATCAGGAAGTATTAATCCTATGCTCCCGAGAATCTGGACATGATCTGAACTCTTTGGACAGTAGCCATGTCCACACTCTGCAAGTTTGGGTAGACCCATCTTCTATTCACCCAGATTCTCCCCTCTTCTCCTGCTTGGCTCAGGTGAAATCAGTCCAATGTCCCCTAACACCCTCTAGGGCTCTGAGGTCCCTTTGGACTTAAACTTATTGGGATCAGAGGATTTTGTTTCTTGGAATGACAGCCATTCTGGAATGAGACATCAACAGTTAAAAGGAAAGGGGGACATTCTTATTCTCAGAAAAGCTCTGCTTTACTCTTGAAGAGATGGATTTTTTCAGATTTGTATTACTTTCCATCAAACTCAGAGACTGTGGCTTGCTAGGAATGGTAATCTCGGTGGAGGGAGACTTGGGTCTTCATAAGCTCAACAAGCAGGTAATGCTGGTCTTGAATTTCATGAAATCTTTTAAACTCATGCACAAATTACTGGGCTCCAATTTTTGACTCCATAAATGAGTTTTTACTGTGGCAATCATTACTTCAGGCCCTGCCACCCTCTGCAGAACAACACAGGCTTGATCATAAGCTTCAGATACTATAAAGAACACCTCCCCAACTCTCCAGAGTTGGATGTGATAGGATGATAGCCAGCACTAAGGGGCCCTGTGGAACAACTTCTGCTTTCCAGTCCCATGCTGGGGACATGGGACCCTGTGGATTGTTCTGCTTAAAACCCGAGCAAGAACCTGGCAACCAGGGAGCATTTTCAGTATGCCAAGAAAGGGAGCCAGGTTCAACAAGGGGTGTTGCCTGTTGTCCAACCTCTTCTATTTGAAGGTCATCAGGTACAAGTGGTTAAGGGTGCTTAAAGTCAGAGATAACCAGCAGTGACTGGCAATTAAGCCCCCAAAGAGTGCTAAACAAAACCAAAGGTATGGAAGCTAAGCCTATCCCTCATATTCTGCCCCTGGGCCCCAGCAGCAAGGTCAGTGCCTCTGCAGAGGAGGCACATGGTCTTGTCACTGTCTGTGGCTCCTCTGCTTCTCTATGTAGACTCTTCATGCAGCAGCCCGCCAGCTGACTTGCTGTCACAGGCCACAGGAACCTCCCCTAAGAGTCTTTCTGTTGACTGCTTAGTGTCCTTGGAGGCAGGCAAGAGGCACCTATCCTTCAAGTACAGGAATCCAGCCCCAAGTGCAGGAGAGAAATGAGAAGGGCCTTCCAAGTGTATCTGGTTTTAAAGATAATCATTTCCTTGTGCTGAGTGCAATTTATAGTGGACAGACAGATCTTAAGGGCATAGCTCTGAGGACTTTTTAAAAGCCTTCAACAACACAATGAGTTCTAGAACAAGATAAAGGATACCTTTCCTGGTCAGCACAGGCCCTGGTGGAGGTAAGCATGCTCACTTTAGATTCTTGGAGACTGGTTTGCTCAATGCTGCCTGTCAAGCCATGAAAATATCCAGATATACTCTTCCATGTTCACCCTCCTGCAGTTCGACAAGCTGCATGGGCCAGGAGTCTCTTCCTTCTTCCTTCTGAGGAGTACCTGCCACTTGAGGACTAGTCCTGTTCATACTCCTAATGACAAGTGGGTGGCTTCTTCCCTTTTGTCCACTGTGAGTAAAGCTTCTAGGAACACTGGTGTTCACTTCTTCATTATGGTTTTATTCCTCTGGCTGAATGCCAAAGTGTGTGGTTCTAGGAAACAAGGAAGTGACAAACCCTTTTCCAGATGGCAACAGTACTGTTCAGTCCTCCAACAGTGCCTATGTGTCATCTCTCCATGCCTGTTCCAGTGTTGGTGATATGCACAATAGAGGGTGTGCAGCATGACTTCACCAGGGCTTTCATTTCCATTCCCAAATGAAAAAGAGAGACACTTTTACTTGCTTTAGACATCGCTCTTTGAGAACTTTTTATTAAAATTTTCTGTCACTTTTCAATGTGCTGCTTGTCTTTTTATTGAAATGCAATAGTTTTTTTTCATTCTAGATAAAAATCTTGAATTAAGAATATTTTCTCCCCTTCTATAGATTGCCCATGTACTTTCATAAAGATGTTTGAAAATATATATAGATTTGTAATTTTTGTTAGGTCTAATTTATATATTTTTAAGAGAGAGAGAGA